CTGGAAGCCGCTGACCGGTCTGCGCTCTGCCGGGCAGGAGTTCGAGAAGTTCCAGGAGATGGTCCAGACCACAGTCGACATGGACAGGGCCGACAAGGGGGAGTTTGTGGTCAGGCCTGAATTCGACGACCAGCTGGAAGGTAAGCGTCCAGGTGGCCGAGATGATGTGGGTACTGTTGAGGTTTGGGTGAAGGGTGAATGTGGTATGCTTTACAGGCACCGTGAACTGGTATTTGTACTGCCTGCACAATAAAACAGCACCTAATTCGGCTTAACACAGGATCAGGCCGTGTTCGTGGTTGTCATCAGATCTTGTGAATTCCCGAGAGGATCGCCGATTTTTTGCAGACTGGGCTGGTGGGTGCCACTGTGGCCTGTGGAGCAGCCGTGCCTCGTCTGGCTGACGCCGGACCCGGCTTCAGCAGGCCACGTGCTGTGTGTTTCCCTGACGTGGCCACGTCAGGGGAACACACAGCACGGTGCTGTGTTTCCCCTGACGCGGTCGCGTGGCCTGAGCACTGAGCCGGTACTCTGCTCTCGCCAGAGCTGCGACAGAAGATAAACCAGCTGGAGGCGCAGGTGGAGAAGCAGCTGCGGAGGGTGGCCGCCGACCTCGGCCTGGAGGCGCACAAAACGCTGAAGCTGGAGAGCACCGCGCAGACCGGCTTCTTCTTCCGCGTTACGAAAAAGGTCGGCGGATGGGCGGAGAGGTGTCGCACTGGCAGACCTCCGACAGCCTGCGAGCTCAAATGTGTGCCCCGTAATAAGGTGCTTCTATGCTGGTCTGTCGGGATTATCCCTTCGTCTGTCATGATTTATGAACGGGGTTTGTCCGGATTACTACTACCGTCACCGCTGTCCTAGCTGGGCAGCTGGGGACAGCCGTCTCTGTGGGCGGTGCAGCACATCAGCCGGCGCTGTTGACGCCCACACGCCACCTGACTACCGATCCCCCTCAGGAGGAGAAGCTGCTGCCTCTGTGGGCGGTGCAGCGCATCAGCCGTCGCTGTTGACGCCCACCGGTCACCCGACTGCCGATCCCCTCAGGAGGAGAAGCTGCTGCGAAACAACAAGATGTATCAGACGCTCGAGACCAACAAGAGCGGCGTCAAGTTCCGGTCGAGCGCGCTGGCCGCGCTCAACGACGAGCACCAGACGACGCGCGCCGCCTACACCGAGCAGCAGCGCGCCGTCGTCGCCGAGATCGTCAACATCGCCGGTGCGTCCGCGCGCGCTGTGGACGGGGGCGGGTCCGGCCGGGGACGGCTGCGCGCGGGTGGCCGGAAGCGGCCCGGAGGGAGGGCGGCTGGCATTCTTGTGTTAGTTTGTCTTGGTAATTTGTCGGGATAAAGTGACGCTGTACTGTGCTGGTTGTCTGCTTTGTCTTGTGCATGGCAACGAGTGTGTGAGATAGCAGGGTTCGCGATGTTTACACTTTGGCTGAGAGTCATGTGTTCTAAAAGGGTCCGGTGCGATTTTGTCCAGCATAAGTTGCCATGGGACTACCCTGAATAGTGTTTGTTGTGATGTGTTGATCAATACGTCATTCAAGGGAGCCGTGTGATTGCAACAGGTGAACGCCTCGTGTTTCTTTGAGACGTTTATCGGCACGTCATATCCATCAGCCTGGTCTGTTCGCCTCTCCCAGCTGGATACTTGGAGCCTATGCTGGCGCTGAATGATGTGACGGCCCGGCTGGACGCACTGGTTGCCCTGGCAACGGCAGGGGTGTCCGCCCCGCAGCCGTACGTACGGCCGCGCCTGCTGGCGCCGGACGAGCCAGGTCCGACGCGGCTGGTGCAGGTCCGGCACCCCTGCGTGGAGATGCAGGACGGTCTGGCTTACATTCCCAACGACGTGGAGTTCGAGCGAGGTGAGGCACGCGGCTGGCATGCGTGCCGTCGTCGACCGTTATGACATCTCACCGTCGCAGCAGTGCGAACCGTACCAAACGCGCGTGATACTGGAACACGTCCTTCAGCCGCCCTGCGTGATCCGTCCTTCACTTCTGCGTGATCCGTCCTTCACCCGTCCTGCGTGATCCGTCCTTCACCCGTCCTGCGTGATCCGTCCTTCACCCGTCCTGCGTGATCCGTCCCTCACCTGTCCTGCATGATCCGTCCTTCACTTCTGTGTGATCCTTCACCCGTCCTGCGTGATCCGTCCTTCACTTCTGCGTGATCCGTCCTCCACCCGTCCTGCGTGATCCGTCCTTCAGCCGTCCTGCGTGATCCGTCCTTCACTTCTACGTGATCCGTCCATCACCGGTCCTGCGTGATCCGTCCTTCACCCGTCCTACGTGATCCGTCCCTCGCCCGTCTTACGTGATCCGTCCCTCACCCGTCCTGCGTGATCCGTCCGTCACCCGTCGTGCGTGATCCGTCCCTCACCCGTCCTGCGTGATCTGTCCTTCACTTCTGTGTGATCCGTCCTTCACTCGTCCTGCTTGATCCGTCCTTCGCCCGTCCTGCGTGATCCGTCCTTCACTTCTGCGTGATCCGTCCTACACCCGTCCTGCGTGATCCGTCCTTCACTTCTACGTGATCCGCCCATCACCCGTCCTGCGTGATCCGTCCTTCACCCGTCCTGCGTGATCCGTCCTTCAGGCGTCCTGCGTGATCCGTCCTTCACTTCTCTGCGATCCATCCTACACCCGTCCTGCGTGATCCGTCCCTTACCCGTCCTGCTTGACTACCATCGCTGTGCACCGGCCAGTCGATGCCTGCCGTTCAGCTGATGGTCCGTCGCCGCGCTCTGAAGCTCACGCTCATGCGTCACCGGTCCGCTGCCCGCAGGCGTGTCGACGTTCAAGGTGATCACGGGCCCCAACATGGGCGGCAAGTCCACCTACATCCGCTCGGTGGCCGTGGCCGTGGTCATGGCCCAGGTCGGCTGCTTCGTCCCCTGCGAGGTGGGCATCGTGACGGGTTGTTGAGCATCTAGGGAGTGTGGCTGTCGGGTGTCGGCGTCATGGGGTGTCGTGGTGGGATGTCTGCATCGCTAGGAGTCCCGTTCACCACTTGCAGACGCTTCCAGAGGTGAACGAGAACAACGTTTCAAGAAACGTTCCAGAGAACGCACTGGCTTCCTGAGATACTGGTGGCGGTTGAGGGGAAGGGGGGGGGGGGGGGAGCAGGGAGGTTTCCTTCGACATGTCCCGGGTGGTATGGGGAGGCGAAGTGGGTCACCATGCTGATCTGACCTCCGGGGACCGTTCTACTCGGCCCGGTCGGCTGTCTCCTGACCGCTGGTCTTGCTCTACATTTAGTGCTCATTCCCACCGTCCCCTTTGCGCCACCACCAGCAGACGCGTGTGGTCCCCGCCCGCCTCACAACACCGCGTGCCGGTGCGCTGGGCGGCGGGTCAGCTGACGCCCGTGTGACCCCGCGCCGCCAGAGTGCCCAGCTGCGGCCGGTGGATGCCGTCATGGCGCGCGTCGGAGCCGGAGACTGCCAGATGAAGGGCGTCTCGACCTTCATGGCGGAGATGCTGGAGACGGCCGCCATTCTCAGGGTGGGTGCCGGGTGGCAGAATTGTGGCGTTGTGGTGTTCGGATATATCAAGACCAGTATGACTTCATAGATGACTTTGCAGTGCTCCATCTTGTAAAAGATGATCGTGACTGAGTGTTATTTTCGATGCATTTTGCACTGGCAGAATGCGGCTCCAACCTCCAACGCTTTGTCTATGACACCAAAGCGGCGTTTGCGATTTCTAAAACTTCCCGGGATCCGTGGAAATTGCCCGAAGTCCGTTCAGAAAAACGTTCGTTCTAGATGCTCAGCGAATGAGTGGCTCAGTGTCTGGCAAAATTAACGTGTTTTGTTAATTAACACAGTGAAGTTGATTGTACCAACAATGCATTTGTCTACAGAATGCTTTGGGGGACCAACGCATTATTTTCGGCTTAAGACTGGACGTGCCCCATATGATAACTTCGATTGTAACCTAATCAGTGGGCACTAGAGGCATGTTGGGTCCGTCCGGCGGCTGTGTCAGCGTTGTGCATCCGTTTCAGTCAGCCACCAAGGACTCCCTGATCGTCATCGATGAGCTGGGCCGCGGCACTTCCACCTACGACGGCTTTGGCCTGGCCTGGGCCATCTCGAGTGAGTAACGGCCGACGCCGGGTCCCGGCTGCATCCGCCGATCCAGCTGCTCCGGTCTAGGCTGCTCCCCGGTCCCCTCCGGTCCAGGCTGCCCCGCTCTATATCCCCTCCGGTCCCGGCTGCTTCCGCCGGATACCCAGCAGAGTCCCGGCATGCCCCGCCTGATTCCTCGAGTCTCCGGCTGCTCCGCCTATATCCCTCCGGTCCCCGGGCTGCTCCGCCTATATCCCCTCCGGTCCATCGTCTGCTCCGCCTATATCCCTCTCCGGGATCCGGCTGCTCCCGCCTTATATCCCCTCCGATCCGGCTGCTCCGCCTATATCCCTCCGGATCCCGGCTGCTCCGCATATATCACCCTCCAGGTCTCCGGGCTTGCTCCGCCTATATCCCCTCCGGTCCCGGCTGCTCCGCCTATATCCCCTCCGGTCCCGGCTGCTCCGCCTATATCCCCTCCGGTCCCGGCTGCTCCGCCGATCCCCCACGGTCCCGGCTGCCCCGCCTATATCCCCTCCGGTCCAGGCTGCTCCGCCGACCCCCTACGGTTCCGGCTGCTCCGCCTATATCCCCTCCGGTCCCGGCTGCCCCGCCTATATCGCCTCCAGTCCCGGCTGCTCCGCCCATCCTCTCCGGTCCCGACCGCTCCGCCGATCCCGTCCGGCCCCGGCTGTCCCGCCAATCCCCTTCGATCCCGGCTGCTCCGCCGATCCCGTCCGGTCCCGGCTAGTCCCGGCTGCTCCGCCGATCCCTTCCGGTCCCAGCCAAAAATAAGTTGAAAAGATGATTACGGTGGTAATCGATGTCAATATTCAAATTTAATAACCGGGCTAAGCAAACAATTTATATGCACTTTGTTATGTATGCACCCGCTGCAAATCGCTTTGTCCGGATCCTTGACATCGACGACGCACTTTTGTCGGATGGAGGCCTATCGATTTCTGTTTGCCTCCCCCCCCCCCTCCCCCCTTTCCCCCCTTCCTCCCCCCTTCCTCCTCCCCTTCTCCTCCCCCCCTTCCTCCTCCCCAGTTCCTCCTCCCTGCCAGTAATTGTTGTGCCGCCCCTAAGTCACTAGAAAGCAAACCAACAGCAAATCAACGAAACATGGTGGTGGAGCAGGGCCAGTGACTATATGCAGTGGTATCCGGCAATAATGTATATATGTATGTGGTGTAATAAAATACGTGGTGAGTTTCTGAGTCCGATGCAGCACCGACTTATGCGTATTATATATGTAGTTCATTATTTACAATGCGAGCACACCATATATCCTAATGCATTGGTTTGCGTGTTCGAGAGAAATTTTGTCGACTCGAGAATTCGACAGTGGTTTCAGATTCAAGCCCCTATTTTTAGGTTCCAAGTCTTCGTTTCCTCGAAACGATGATTTCCAGGATTCAGTTTTATTCTGGATTATATTTCCGGATTTCTTTTGCGAATCCGGATCCTCAGCTTCAAAACAGATGCACGTTTAACTACAGCGTCGTGAATGATGTGGTGTATTCTCCCCAATGTCACAGGATGCAAGCGCCTGCATTGGACTAACTGGATCCCTGTCAAGGCAGCGCGCTTTGGACAATAGCTTGGAAAAAAAAAACGCGAAGCAATATATGGCGGTAACAGCTTTTTCTGCACATCGTCCCCAGCCGTTCCTTCTTCTGCACGCACCCGAAGTCCCTAATCTGGACGCTCCTGCCGGCAGGCACATCGCGCGCGAGCTGGGCGCCTTCACGCTGTTCGCCACCCACTTCCATGAGCTGTCAGCGCTGGCGGCCGAGGTGCCGGCCGTGCAAAACCTGTACGTGACGGCACTGACGGCCGGGCAGGAGCTCACCTTCCTCTACAAGGTGCAGCCGGGCGTCTGCGACCAGAGCTTCGGCATCCACGTGGCCGAGATGGTCAAGTTTCCGCGGCAGGTGATCGAGGTGAGGGAGACGCCGATGGTTCCGGGCCGGCGGCGTGACGCTCCACGGCGCGTGTGCCGGCGTCACAGCGTTCTCGGTCCGTCGGCTCACAGAGGCGACGTCCTGAACTGCCAACGTCGTGAATTGGCTGTGTAATCAGCAGTTTGGCGATACGGCACATGCGCTATGTCGCGCCTGTCTTCGACACAGGTTATCGCGCCGCCTCCAAAGATCAGCGCACACTGGTAGTCGTGTCAGACGCCTAGGAGCTGGCCGACGCGCCGTGCGACGGCCAGGGGGCACGTCGTCCGCCGACCGCGAGATGCGGGGCTGTCGTGGGGTCCGTCTGACGCGGCTCTGTCGGCAGGACGCGCGCAGCCGAGCTGGCGAGCTGGAGGACTTCTACGGCTCGCACCAGGCGGCCACGGCCGAGCTGGCCGGCCCGCCCGAGAAGCGGGCCCGCGCCGACGGAGACCAGGTGGGCGGCGCTCAGACCCCGGGGACGGGCAGGCGCCCCGCGCCCTGGTATGGGAAGGGCGGTGTCTGTGATCTGGCTCCGCTCTGGTCTGGTGGAGTGCTGGCAGCAAGCTATTTGTGATCTCCTTCATGCATTATGCCTTACCACATAGCTGTAATCTCCCCAAAACATAGGAAGTCTAACATAAAGCTCCGTCGGCCATACGATAAACCGTTTTTTATGTAAAGCTGCCGAGGTCGAACAAGATCTTACTCTTATGCTTCCGACGTTGCCAGGTGCCTTAAGAAACTGCGTGTTTGGGGTCATAAATTAGCGATCTTGTGCGGTACCGACACCAGTTCGCCCATTGCGTGACACGTCATGCAATGTCCACACACATTACGTTCACACATGACACACACATGAATATAACGCAGTGGCGGTGAGTTTGCCGCTGGTGTCAGCTCGCAGCGGGGGTGTCTGTTGCGCAGCTGTGCCAGCTCCCGTTCTGACGCGGCCAGCTGTCCTCCGCGCAGGCGAGCGAGGTCATTACTTCGTTCCTGGAGCAGTATGACCGACTGGGCGCCGACCTGAGCCCGGAGGAGCGGCGCCGGGCCGTCACCGAGCTCATGGACGGCGTCAGGAGCCGGCAGGACCCGTACGTCAGTCACGTGCTGTCCCGGCTGGGGCTCCACTGACCGGCGGGGCCCGTACGTTTGTCACGTGCTGTCCCGGCTGGGGTTCCACTGACCGGCGGGACCCGTACGTCAGTCACGTGCTGTCTCGGCTGGGGCTCCACTGACCGGCGGGACCCGTACGTCAGTCACGTGCTGCCCCGGCTGGGGCTCCACCGATCCGTGACGTTGTCCTGAAGAACTGTGCCATGTGACGAGGCTGTAGCTGTTGGTGCGGAATACACGGTTTTGTAAAGCTGATGGTGTAGATTGGTGCTGGAGGGACGATGGTGATAGACGACGGAAGTAGGAGATCGCCTGCTCTGATTACGGTGCGGGTTTATGAGTGCCCTTTGACCTGCTACGGCGGTCACCCGCCTTGCGCCACCATCAGGGTCGTGGTTCGCCGTCCGTGCTAGGCTGACCTTCATGCGAGCCAGCATCCGGTGGCTTCCTGTCGTCAGCCGGTGGCCGGCGCAGCGGAACCATGGCGTTCTGTAAGAGCCTCAGCTTGCTCGCAGACTATCGTTCGGGCTGTTCGGGCTATCGAAGCTGACAACGTGTGCGGGTCGCGTGTGTGTTGATGGCGGGCAGTGCCCCGGAGCTTCGCCAGCAGTATGCCCCGGGGCGCCGCAGTCTGTCTGCCGAGCCCGTTTGCAGCGAAGCAGAATAGAGTCACTCTCGAGCCGGCCAGGAGGGAAGGGGAAATAGCATCGAAATGAACAGGGATATTGATGCCAAACGGACAAAAAAGACGGTAGTGATACCCTTATTCCTGGTAGAATAACCAGGAGAATGGTGATATAGATGCGTTGATATTTCGGCAACATGCCTTATTAAAACGAAGAAAAAGATTCGTTTCAAAGCAATTATTCAGTAGCAAGAAAAACGATCGTTTTGTGGGGCTTACGAGTCTCTCGTAAAGTCGGACACACATCGAATGATCACCCGTGCATACGGCGCCTACGGTGCATACGGTGCCGGCGAGCAAATGCCGGCCGGCCCGAGAGCAAGAGTCCGTCCGTTCGCCGCTCTCCACACGAGGCACTCCTCAGTGACTCGGTCCCATCCCCGGCCGGTGTTCGCTGAGGGGTGCACCCGCGGCCCGGGCGAGCGGGGAAGCGCGTAATAGGCTACGTCTCTGGCGGCGCATGCTACACCGTGTCAGTGAGCAGGTCAGATGCGCGGCGACCCCGGTAGGGAGAAGAGTCGGGTACTCTCCAGGTGGCAGCACCACCGTCACTCGTGTGGTGGCGCTAGGAGCCAAACACGCTGATGGCACCGGGGTACATTTCTGGTGCGAGGCGATGCGCCTCACGTTCGGGAAAGCCCCGAACGATGGCGTGGTAAACACCACGTGGTATATCTGAAACGCCGACGGGATTATGCGGCTGTAACTGTTCGCCATCTGTAACGCACAGGGCGAGACTGGTTTGTAGGTATGCATATAATGCAGTGAAAAGGCGTAGGACATGCATATTAGCTAGCGTTAGCGTTTTTAATCCTGCTTTCGATGGCCTCGTGAAGCCGTCTCCCTCTCTCTCTCTCTCTCTCTCTCTCTCTCTCTCTCTCTCTCACTCTCTCTCTCTCTTCTCTCTTCCTCTCTCTCTCTCTCTCTTCTCCCTCTCTCTTCTCTCTTCTCTCTCTCTCTCTCTCTCTCTCTCTCTCTCTCTCTCTCTCTCTCTCTCTCTCTCTCTCTCTCTCTCTCTCTCTCTCTCTCTCTCTCTCTCTCTTCTCCTCTCTCTCTCTCTTCTCTCTCTCTCTCTCTCTCTCTCTCTCTCTCTCTCTCTCTCTCTCTCTCTCTCTCTTCTCTCTCTCTCTCTCTATCTCTCTCTCTCTCTCTCTCTCTCTCTCTCTCTCTCTCTCTTCCTCCTATCTCTCTCTCTCTCTCTCTCTCTCTCTCTCTCGCTCTCTCTCTCTCTCTCTCTCTCTCTCTCTCTCTACTCTTATCTCTCTCTCTTCTCCTCTCTCTCTCTCTCTCTCTCTCTCTCTCTCTCTCTCTCTCTGCCTCTCTCTCTCTCTCTCTCTCCTCTCTTCTCTCTCTCCTCTCTCTCTCTTTCTTCTCTTCTCTTCTCTCTCTTCTCTTCTCTCTCCACTCGGCTCCTCTTCTCTCTTTCTCCTCTCTCTCTCGTCCTCTCTCTCTCTCGTCTCTCTCTCTACTCTCTCTCTCTCTCTCTCCTCTCTCTCTCTCTCTACTCTATCTCTCTCTCTCTCTCTCTCTCTCTCTCTCTCTCTCTCTCTCTCCTCTCGCTCTCTCTCTCTCTCTCTCTCTCTCTCTCTCTCTCCCGATTTATTAATCATCTTTGCAACGTGAAACCATTTGTTTTTAATATCGTCGTGCGATTTTGAAACATAAACATTTCAAAACACCTGATGCGTATTGGACTTTTTTACTTTTGAGCGTTTCAAGTTATCCAACCTTCCAAGTCTGCGCAGAACTTACAAGTGTGACGTCAATCAAGTCCCGTCAACAGCTATAGCAGCAATTGTGTGAGAAATGGGGAGAATCGCCAAATGTGCAAGCTGATCTGGGCCAGGAGCGCTGCAGGCCGTGCCTTGGTGCTGCTCCCGCAGGCAGACATGGCAAGCGCGCTTCGGCGGGGTTGAAGTGGTTTGTTTCTGTTTCGTAGCTGGCTTTTCATGACTTACTGCAGGCTGAGGCAATATGATAAGCTCGCTTACCCTTTTTCTCCCCGAACCAGCGCTCATTAGCCTCACATTGTATGTATAGACGTCCTTAAACTTTACCACTTAGACCAGACCTGGGCCAGAGCCCCAAGAAAACATTCAGTCCCCGGATGATCATTCGACAACATTAGGAAACTGTTCTGGCTCTTAAAGGATCTTCGGCAACATTCCAGAAAGCATCCGAGACCCTGGAAGATTCTTCAGCACAATGTATTAATATAGCCTAAATTTCAGAAGATCTTTAGGCAGGATGCTAGAATAGATCTGTGATCCTGGAAGGTCGAAAATCTAGGGCCCAGATTTTAGTCCAGGTCTGCATGCTATATTTGACAACAAGACTCTCTGTTGGTTATGGGTGGGAACAGACTTGTTTTGACAGAATGAATTCGCGGTGCACAATAACGCTGCTCAGGAAACACGAATGAAGTGTTTAATGAGCCCTGCGGTATGCCAAGAGCACGCTTATATTGACCGCTCAAGATCAGCTGGAAATGTCCACGAGTTACGAGGCATTGCAGACAGGTAAATTTGAACGCGCGTATTTAGACTTGCATTTGATGGATAAGTTGGTATAGCTTGCTTCAACTGTCACCATTCCATCAGGTTTCTTTCCTCAGCTGCGTTCTTTGCGAAATCTGTGAGCGTCATCCAGGAAAAATGAATCAAAGGTGACGTGCGTTGCCTGGACGGATGGTGGATCATGGGCGCGTTCGGCCGGCAGACAATCTCGGAAAATTATCCGGAATGTTGGAAAATTTTCCGAAATGGCGTTCGGTACTGCTGTCATGGAAAATTATCCAAGATAATTTTCCGTAGCGAGGGAGAATCGCGGATAATTTTCAGAGCATGGTCAAAACGGAGAATCTGTTTTCGCTATGCATAGCTATGAGCGTTGGCTGTGGATGGCGCATGGGAGACTAATCTGGGGGATAATTTCCGGACCGGCCCAGTAAAAATGAAGAATACGCGCGAATGATTATCGAAGAGATACTTAGTCATTGAATAATTTTCCATTGGCGAACGCGCTCCATGGTTTAGCATATGCGGCATTATGGGCTAAAGCGATCATCCAAAGAAAAAAACAGGGTCCCTGTAGATACGAGATCCTGACAGTTTAATTGAAAGGGGCCAATTTGACCCGAATTCACCTACTCCTAGGAAAACTCCTGGCTACATCAATGTTTTAAAAGCAAGACATATGCCTATCATCCATCAGTTTAACTGAAAGCCCTCAACCAATCAATGAAAAGATTCGCATAACACTGATGCTTGCAGTGATCAGTTCAAACACGCTCAAATCAATTGGCAATGATGAATGTCGCTAATGGGGGTACTCATAGATATCTTATACCACTACATCCGAAACGACCATGCCTGGAGGGTGTTCGGCCAAAGAGGATCATTGTACAATGCATTAAACTAAACCCACGTGTACAAGCGGCCGGGGTATCGCTTAACGACAATATCTCTGATGTGAACAAATGAAGCTCCAGTCACTCGTTCTCACCGGCTAATGGCGCGGCGGGGGTCGGGAGTTGTGACTGGTGTAGCGATTCTTAATCACTAAGTTTGCCATAGCCATACATAGCTATGCATAACATAGCCATAGCCATAACATAGTCATAGCCATAACATAGCCATAGCCATAACATAGCCATAGCCATAACATAGCATAGCCATAGTTACCTTAGTTAAGCCATTTAATTAACGAATGCGAGGTCACTATGTTATGCGCGAATTATCTCTGTTTGGCCATGAATGTGGGCCGTGATAGTCTAGTGGTTAGGACCCTGCGTTGTGGCCGCAGTAACCCCGGTTCGAATCCGGGTCACGGCAGCGCCGAATTTTAAAGTGTTGTGGATGGCGTGTTAATGAGACCAAACGATGGATACTAATGGCAGGGCAGGCATTTCGCTGTCTCTAGCGGGAAGAAACTGCTTCTGATTGCGTGGTTGTGTCAGGCTATATAATTTGGAAAGGCTTCTGCATAATTTGGTCACGATTTCAGTTGATGGGATAAAAAGAAAACGTTATGGGCGTTTTGGTGGTATTTATTGCCACAACATCTTAGAGTATTGCCCGAACATCAAATAAAAATACGGAAAAATAGTAGTACTGCGATACTTGTGACTGAACCACGAAAACTAAACAATATTGCTTCTCGTTCTAAAAAAAGAGCTTTTAAATGATTTTGGGCGAAACTAGTAACAGCTCTAACAACTGAGGCTGTGGACAACGATCATGCGCCACATCACGTGACATCTTCACCTCAACTAGGCAATGGGGATCTACTCCCCATCACTTCCATCCATTGGGCTCGAAAGCAGGAATTCCATTTCACAAGACGAGTTGTAATTGACAGGTGAGATTCATGTGAAAAAGTGCAAACCTGCTCAACCATTTTCTACTCGCTGTCGGAGCATAAACATGTCGCCCCATGAAGCCTTCTACATGCTTTGTCGAAGTTGGTCTCGCGCGGGTCAGCTCAGAAACGCATTCGTTAAGAACGTTTTGCAACGGTTTTAGACTTAACCCGCTACCAAGTGCATGAATCCTCTCGGCGACCTTTCGTAGCTAATGCTCTCTTTCGTCCGTCAAAGGCACGTTCTATGAACCTGGCACTATGTCACGTCACAGTGCACTGGGGCTCAAATGAGAGATTGACAGGAAAGGGTTGTTTTAGCGCCCTCGTGGGCACGCAAAATTCTTTTGCATTGCATTTTTCAATCCACTTGCTTTTCCACGTCCACCTCGTTATTTATCGACAACGGATTCACATGCATATGATGCGTGCAA